GGCAAACAGGTACAGATCTAACAATTTACGCATATCGTTTTACATTTTTACAATTGTCCCGGCTTTGATAGCAAAAATATCAAATCTGTATAAAAGAACGCTGTATTTGTAACTACTTTTATGAATGAAGAAACCGAAAAGTTTAAGTAAGTGTTTATTGTGGAGACCAGTTCAAATAATAGGGTTGAATATGTTAATATCGAACAAACCAGTGAATCTACTTCAGAAGCTTACGCGATCATAACCTGACCTCCAGTAAGTTATCGATAAAAAGATAAGATAATGTTTGAATAATCGTCTCTCGATACAATTACGATAATTTGTTTTCTGTTTCAGGGAAAAAAACAGTGAGATTTGGACTTAGAGAAATATAGAAAACTCAGCACTAACATATTTTCTTGTTTATCTTACAAAGTCGAAGATAAAGACAACCTTATCGCAGCACATGACCAAAGATAAACATTCCACTCTAAGCGACATCACATGATTTTTAGGATAGTAAAAAGCTTTTATATTTTACCACACTAGTACTTTGGTGCCTACAATAATACATCGATCATTTCCCCGTTACATCGTTAGGCTGAAGCTACAATAAAATGGGGGCAGTCCTAGCAGTTCCTCTTGGATTTTTCCTCTATCATCTTCTGACAACAGATGATTTGTCGCCTATGCACGGTGTATACAATTTACCAAACCGATTCTTTTGGTTGAAAAAAATTACCAGTTGTTTCTACTTAAAAATAAAAAGGTGGATGTGTAAAAAACGATTTGACTTGTATGATATGAGTGAACTGACAGACTTAGTGAAAACTGGATCCATACCACCAGAAGAAGAGAAAGTATTAGAGGAACCTCAAACAGATGAACATCTTTCCAAAAATACTGATGACATTTTTTTCTACGGAGTGAATTCCACGGGAGAATGTCTTGTGGTTCAAATGTGTAGGCTACAAAATAAGATGGTAGAAGTCATGGTGTTAGTAAAAACGGCTGACGGTAGGTGTTACAGCTATCCTGACAGACCAACGAAAACTATCGTCAGTGGTGAAGGTTTTGCAGGAGGAGGGTTGAAGTTAAAGTGTGTAAATGCAATGAGAAAATGGAGGATTTCATTCAATGGCTTACTAAAAGAATCCTGCAAAGGTTCAGGAAAAGACAGAGTGGTTCATGTAAAATTCAGTTTCATATGGTTAGCTATGTCTAATGTCCAAGATCTGTCTACTGATATAGATCTAACGGAAGCGTTAGCAAAAGAGCCTTGGTCTGGATACTTACCAAATGTTAGCAGCTTAGAAAAAGCTTTGAACATATATGAACAAGGCGGACAACTCTTAGGCACTGTTACTGTTGAAGGACAAGAAGAAGAATTTACCTTGTGGGGAACACGAAGACGACGTCTCGGACCTCTAGTTCAACTACATCGTAGTGTTGACTTCTTTGGCTTCACCAAAAATGGTGGATTGTTCCACATTGGTGCTGTGTCTTTACCAGGTATTGTATCTAACTTAATATATGGTCACTACATTCATTCTAATTCCATGCTTTTCCCCATCACAACGTGTAACTTTAAACTTCCACTAGTAGCAGAAGACAAGCAAGTACCACGTTTTGAGAGATTTACCTTTGGAGCAGGTGATAAGACTTTTCAGTGTACAGTAAACATGCAGGACCATTTGTGTGACTTTGTGAGTGAAAATACCGAACAACACTTCAAACAATGTACTATTAAACTGAATAGAAATTATGGTTCTGGTATCACCGTTTTCAAATATGGAATCAATGAAGCAATTACTCAACCTGTATCTACCTTTATGAATATATTTCGAGAATTGCCCAAGTTAGACTCACTAGTTGTAGACTTTGACGGTCCAAACTGTCAACAAACAACGCTCACGGGAGGAAAAGGTTCTTCTCTAGCCAAATTAACTGCAATATCACGTCAAACTAATTCTTTCATTGTCCCAAAAGGTGTGGTTGTTACAACTTCAGCTTATAAAGAATTTATTAAGAAAGGAAAGCTATGTGAAGCAATAACGAACTTGGAGGAAGTGGCATGGTGTCACGTTACAGGAAACTTAAAGTACATCTGTGAACAAGTGATGTTGAATGTTAGTACAACCAAGATTCCTGAAGACGTGTCTGAAATGATTAAGGAGAAATT